CATCTGCTGAGGCCCACTGGGGTTCAAGGAGACAGAAGCAGACATAGAAAAAACAGAACATTTCTCCTTCGTTAGCCGACATCCTGCTGGTTGGAGGACTCAGAACCAGTGGACTCGGGTCGGACCGCTGGGAGAGCAGGCAGCGCGTCCGTCCTCAGTGGACTGACAGCCGTTCAGCCTGCAGACAGGATTCATTAGACTTCAGCTCCATGTTGGGCTGTAGGCGGAGAGGGGAGGGCCTACCTGAGGACCTGCAGGCCACAGTTTGGAGCCTTAAACCAGGAAGCCAGGAGCTTCAGTCCAGAATCCTTCAGCTTGTTGTGACTCAGGTCCAGTTGTAGCAGACTGGAAGGAGCGGAGCTCAGAGCAGCGGCCAGAGACGCACAGCTTTGATCGGTGAGCTGACAACAGCTCAAGCTGCCAATGAAACAGAAGGTTCTGATATCTTTAGGAGGTCCCAACAGAAACACTAGAAACCTCACATTCTCTCAGAGAAGTGAACATGTGACTTGCCTCAGATTTTCCAGTCTGCAGTTTGGACTCCCGAGTCCAGGACTGAGCTGCCGGACCCCTGAGTCCTGCAGATCGTTGTAGCTGAGGTCCAGATGTTTGAGGCTGGAGGTTGGGCCTTTCAGAGCGGAGGACAGCGGTGAGCAGCAGCTTTCTGTCAGGCCGCAGTCATGCAAACTACAATCACAAGGTTTTCAGTCAGTCACATTAAGTTCTGCAGAATCCTGGAGGTTTGGGTTTAATCAACCTGCAGACGATGTTTCACCGACACAAGGCCTTCATCAGTTTATTGTCTGCTATGATGGAACATCTGTTGGACCTAACCTCATATAACCACACCAACTACACCTCCCACAATGCACTGCAGCTCTGATATTCAACCCACACTGTAAAAAATCTAAATCTAGATCAGTTATTTTGTCTTAAAATAAATGCATTTCTTCCTAAATTAAGAAGGTAAAAGAAACATTTTGCCAACAAGACAATTTACATTTAAAATAAGAGACATTTGCAATGTCTTATTACAGGTGCCTTTTATCTAAATATCTTATTTTAAGAGTAAAAATACTAATCCCATTGGCAAACTACCTCATTTACCTGCTCAAATTAAGGGTAAATACACTTACTTTACCCCCCCACCCCGATGCTGAGATACTGTTCTCATTTCCAAGGCTTCAGAAACGCAATACAGTGACATTCATTCCTGACTTTACAGATCTATGACACATAGATATTACCAAATAAACTAGAGCAAAGAGCAGAAACCAGAGAGCAGACCTCAGGCTCTGCAGGCTGCAGCCAGGATCCTCCAGGGAAACACAGAGATGCAGGACTCCTGCATCCTTCACACTGTTCTGACTCAGGTCCAGATGTTTCAGGAGGGAAGACTTCAGAGCAGGATCCAAAGAAGCACAGCTGATCTCTGTCAACCCGCAGTTTCTCAATCTGAAGAGACGCCAAAACACAAAAGGACCATGGATCAGGTTCTGCCTGCGATTGGACCGAGGACGCTTCCAGACAGGGAGCTGATCGTCTCTCTGCCTCACTGAAGGTCTCAGTTCCAAATAATTAATAAGAGGCTCCAAACTGTGTGTTTAGTTATTTTAGTCCATGCATTCAGTGAACGGCTGCCTGATCCGTAAACATTGCTTTAATAATAATAATAATACAGATAGATAATAAAGATACCAATAAAATAAACTGATTTGGTTCCACCCATTAAAACGAACAGATTACATCGTCTAACAGCAGCTGAAAAAGAAAGAGTTTGAGCTGCAGAAACTAATTATTTATAATGATCATTCTAAATGATATAATAATTATTCTATTGTGTGCTCTGTTTGGATGGTAGTCATGTCTCCTTCTTCTTCGTGCATCATGGAAGGACCCTTTCGATCTCCTCCAAAAGATCAGCTGTTTGTTTGCATGGTCACACGGTACTGATTTACAAGCTGCATGATGTGATATTCTATGTTTAGGATGTTGTTTTCTACTGTTGTTCGTTAAGAGTCCTTTGAACATTTGCGGCTATTCCAGGCATATTTTAAGTACTTATGCTCATTCATTCATACATTTGCAGATATTGTAGATTTAAACACATTTTACTTGAGAGTTTCCAGTTTAGAGGAACCTGCTAGTCCAGCAGACAGTAATGCGACTCCAGAGTCCTGTAGGCTGTCGTTGTAACTCAAGTCCAGCTCAGTCAGACAGCGGTTGGTCTGTAAGACAGAGGCCAAAGCTCCACAGCTGACCTCTGAGAGTCTACAGCTAGCCAGTCTGTAGAAGACAAATGGAAAAGGATTAATATTTAATTATGATTTTGACAGAAGGAAGACAGAGACGTCTGTCAAAATAAAATCTACTTAACCTTAAAAGCATCAAATAAACAGAACCAGCAGACTTACAGGAGGCTTTGGAGTTCACAGCATGGGCTCTCCATTCCTTGGATTAGTATCTGCAGTTCTGAATCCTGCATCTTACTTCCTGTCAGGTCCAGAAGCCTCAGGTGAGAAGGGCGGGACTTCAGCGCTGTGGCAATGACATCATAGTGCGTCTTTGAGAGCCAACATTCATGGAGTCTGAGGAGGAAAAACAGGTCACGTCACTCATCAGTAACTTCCTGCTTTGGGGATGGCGTGGAGGGCAGGAGGATCTTTAAATCACGGTGGGTTAGACAGAGCCAGTCTGGCCTCCAAACATTAGCTGTGGCCAGATGTTTGAAGAATGGAGACGAGTCCTAAAGAGAAAACCTCTGAGCCTGCAGGAGCTGCTCAGAACCAATAGTATAAAAAACTCCAGTGTCTCTGGTTAAACCTGCGGATACATTAACTTTATGAAGAGTTCCAGCTGGAAACATTTTCTCCATCAAAGGAACCTAACAGCGTTTAATTCAACTGCTTTAAATCCCCTAGATGCAGAATTAAAGTCCTGATTAGTTAAACTGCTTTAGATCAAACCAGTGAATTCTCTCTCTGATCTGATTTAATCTATTAATGGAGAAACTCTCCTGGAGCCAAACTGAATGTTGACCAGTTGAAGCTCTATTGTTTATGTTAATGCATTTAGCAGCACAAAGTCACTTACAAAGTAGACCCAATTTTACACTTATCATAAATATAGCAGTAAGTTCTGTAGAGGAACACCCTGAGTTAGAATCAGTGGGGACAGCAGAGGCATAGAGCTATGGGTAAGAGTTAGGATAGGAGATGATTGACTACTGACTAACAAGCTCCGGTGTTTCTGGTCAAATCTGGTGAAAAAAAGTCCTTTGACCTCCGGCAGAGACCATGAATCCTCACAGTGGCAAGCAGAGGCCCATAAGTAGTCAGGAGTACCTTGGACAGGTGGACAAGCAGGACAGGTTCTGAGTACGTTTATCTGGTTATCCCGGCAACATTCTGGGCTGTTAATAGAAAACAGAACTAGAAGCGATTATCGATGTTTAAAGACTATAAGGACTCACCGAGCCTTTCTGCAGTTCCTCACAGCTGGAATCAGCCTCAGTCGACCCATCCATGAGGTGTTGTACTTCTCCAGGTCCAACTCATCCAGAACTTCTGACATCTGCAGCATGTAGGCCAGAGCGGAGCACTGGATCTCTGAGAGCTTCTTCTCTGATCTATTCTCTGATTCCATGAACTGTTGGATCTCCTGATAAACTGAGAGGTCCTTCATCTCCATCAGACAGTGGAAGATGTTGATGCTTCTGTCAGGAGAAACAAACTTAGCCTCCATCTCTTTCAGATTATTGGTGATCTTCTGGATGGTTCCTGGGTTGTTTTCTGTCTGACCCAAGAGGCCTCCTAAGAGTCTCTGGTTGGACTCCATAGAGAGGCCATGAAGGAAGCGAGCAAACAGGTCCAGGTGGCCATTTGGACTTGTCCAGGACTTTTTTATGATCATCTGCAAAAGATCAGGCAGTGAGGTGAACCGACCTTCCCAGATATCAGAGTCACTGTCTTCTTCATCACCATACTCATCATCCTCCTCAACTCCCAGGAAGTTTCCCACCACCTCTGTGTTCCCGCTGGTGAAGCAGTGGAGCATGTAGACCGCAGCCAGAAACTCCTGGACACTCAGATGAACAAAGCAGTAGACTGGTTTCTGGAAGATCACGTTCTCTCTTTTGAAGATTTCTGTACAAACTCCTGAGAACACTGAGGCCTCTGTGACATCCAGACCACACTGCTCCAGGTCTTCTTGGTAGAACATGATGTTTCCTTTCTCCAGATGTTCGAACGCCAGCCTCCCCAGCTTCAGGAGAACTTCCCTGTCAGCCTCCATCAGCTCCTGTGGACTCGTCTCATGTCCTTCATGGTACTTGTTCTTCTTCTTCCTGGTCTGGACCAGCAGGAAGTGTGAGTACATGTCAGTCATGGTCTTGGGCAGCTCTCCTCTCTGCTCTGTGGTCAACAGGTTCTCCAGAACCGTAGCAGTGATCCAGCAGAACACTGGGATCCCACACATGATGTGGAGGCTCTTGGAGGTCCTGATGTGGGAGATGATCCTGCTGGCCTTCTCCTCTTCATCACTGAACCTCCTCCTGAAGTACTCCTCCTTCTGGGCATCAGTGAAGCCTCGTACTTCTGTTACCCTGGAAACACAGGAAGGAGGGATCTGATTGGCTGCTGCAGGTCTGGAAGTTATCCAGACCAGAGCCGAGGGAAGCAGGTTCCCCTTGATGAGGTTCATCAGCAGAACTTTGACTGATGACTTCTGTGTGACGTCAGAAACACGCAGACTGTTGTTGAAGTCCAGAGAAAGTCTGCTTTCATCCAGGCCGTCAAAGATGAAGAGAAGCTTCCAGACAGCCAGCTTCTCTGCTGGGAGCTTCTGGAGGGTTGGATGGAAAACATGGAGCAGCGTGAGAAGACTGTGCTGCTGATCTCTGATCAGGTTCAGCTCCCTGAAGGAAAGCAGAACCACCACCCTGACATCTTGGTTCTCCAAGCCCTCTGCCCAGTCCAGAGTGAACTTCTGCACTGAGAAGGTTTTTCCAACACCAGCGACGCCGTTGGTCAGAACCACTCTGATGGCTCCATGTTGGTCAGGAAAGGCTTTGAAGATGTCCTGGCACCTGATTGGAGAACCATGGAGGTTCTGGATCTTGGAAGCTCTCTCCAGCTGCTTCACCTCATGTTGGGTATTAACCTCTTCGCTCTGTCCCTCGGTGATGTAGAGATCAGTGTAGATCCTGTTGAGGAGGGTTCTACTTCCTGTTTCATCACTTCCTTCAGTCACATGTTCACATCTCTTCCTCAGACTGATCTTATGTTCCTCTAGAAGCTTCTCCAGGATGACATCTGTGAGGGTGAGATCTTTTAAATTAACCTTATAGTTAAAAACATTTAGAGAAATCCTCCTACTACATTACTTTTGTGAACATAGCAGCTTCCTCTAAACCTTCAGAGACTTCAGGTCGGCCTACAACTCAGTGACCACGGGTGTTTTAATCTTTTAACTGGTTATACATAAATCTATGAATTAGAAATAACTTTTTGTGGAGACGATCCAAGATGGCGGCGAGAGAAGGGCCATAGTCAAAAAAAAACAAAAACAAAACAAAGCAGATGAATTCAAGCACAGCACAATGGAAGAAATAAACAATGAGCAACGAGGCAGCGCATGCTACGCTAGCTTCCATCAGGAAAGAAATAAAAAGACTCCAAACAAGATCCAGGTGGAAGGAATGGAGAAGATAAACCAGGGAAAATAGACTCTTCAGAACAAAAATGTCCTTTTTCTACACAAGTCATGAGTTACAACCCTGCTGACACATACAGTGTTTCTGATTGGGCGTCTACTGGCTGTGTCCAGCCATCATCCAATCACATTCTTACTCAATCATCTCTAAGCATCACGGGACGTCCTGCCATGGAAAAGCTGTGGATGAATCTTTATTTGCTTTGTTAGAATCTTGGTTTGTGATATTGCTGTATTTGGTGATTAGTAATGAAACTAATGTTAGCAATAGGCTAGTTAACTTATATTGGTTAGCTAGTTGTGGCGCCAGTAGCTAGCTTCTGTGAGTGCTTGCCTGGGGCCTGTAGAAGCTGTGTTTCTCTTTTGAAACCCGCGACAAAAACCTAGTTTATCTATAAGAGAAGTTACAGGTCCGTTTTTTTCTCTTTGCCGTTTGCAATGATCCCCTCCTCACCAGCTGTTTGGGATAATGGACCTATGATGCTCTCTGCCAGCTGCCATAAAAACCCACTCATTCCTCAAATGTTGAAGCTGTTGGCTCAGAAATGTAGCTGCGCTGTTTGCAGACATAAGAGAAAGATTTCACATACTCCATTCTGCCATGAAGGAAGTAACGTTGCTAGAAGCAGAGAGTGCGCTCATACCTAGCCGACATTGATGAAGAACCAGCTCAGAGCAAATCTCCATCTGCAGCCTCATTTGCAGCACAGATGTATTCTCTCCACTTTAAAAAGATGCACATCCACAACCCTGTGCTCGCTCCCGAGAGGGAATGCCTATTAGATGCGTGAACTAGCGCTCAAAAGTAAATTTTTACTCGAGCACCATCTGTTTAAAAGTTGCTGTTCTCATAGTTCATACCAGCTTCCTGTCTCCGACCGTCCGCTCTAACCCCTAAATCCCTCCATCACTATATAGAGCAGGGACTATATAGTGAAGTTTATAGTGAACTCAGTTAACTGACCGTTCAGACATGATGATCACTGCTTTTTGCTCCATTGGTCTCCACTCCTCCTCCACCGCAAGATGCCGTCGCCATCTTTGTTATTATTCGCCGCTGTCGGGTAGCGACAGCCTATGGCTACAGCGGGGAGCTGTGACAGCAAATCCCATAATGCTTTGCCAGCAGAGCTCTACGCTCAAAGCAATCATCTGCCTCTTCTGAGGCCTTTCTTTTCTTCTCATACACTTTGTCTCTGAGGGATTGCTGAAGAGTCAATGAGTCGATGCAACGACTTATCAGGAAGAACAACCCGAGATCAGAGCTGCTGCTGCTCTATGGAGGCGCTGCTGAGCTGAGGTTCTCTTCTGCACTGCAGCAGAGAGGAAGCAGCTCCAGCTGCTCATTAACACCACCCAGAGACTGACTGGCTGCCCTCTGCCTTCCCTGGAAGAGATTTACTCCACCCACCGCCTCAGGTCAGCCGGCAGCTTCATTGCACCCTGGTAACCAACTGCTGCCCTTTGGGAGGTTTTCAAAGCGATGAGCATCAAAGCAAACTGAAAAACAGCTTTGTCCCTAAGAGCTGCTGGTTCCCTGAACGCCTCACATAGCCTGGAACCTCCAACAATCACATGAACAGCCAATCTCTACAACACTGAATAAGTGAACTAGTCTCATGTTCAAAACCACAATTTCTGTTAATGTTCATGTTTATAGAAACCCATTTTCTGACACTGCACCGCCACCTTTATAACTTTTATTTTCTTTTTATTCCACTTTTTGCCTGCACTGTTTTGATTTATATTGTTTTGAGCTGTTAAAAATTGAGTTGCATTTTGAGGAAAATGACAAAGACTTTTAATTCTGATTTTCACAGTTTAGATTTGACACATTTATTAACAATAATTTATCTGGATGTCGTCACCCGTTGGCCCTTTCAGGCACCGACTTACCCACAACCACAATCAAATAAATTAGGAATCCATTAAAAAGGAACACATCATCTCATAAAATGAATTTCTAATAATCAGATTGGTTTATTCTGTCTCACAGAAACCTGGCTGCATTATGTTAGAATAAAAGCGTCATCTATATAGACCCGCATTCTCACACAGAGCAGCTCACTTACAGCAGGAATTATACAAAGATTGAAAAAAATATACAAACTTTTTGCATTTCAGATTTAAAAATGTTTTTGTCCATCAATCGCCTCTATAACCCAGAACTCCTCAAGTGGAAACGTTTTAGTTTCACCTGGTTTCATTTTTTAAATATCTTCTGCTGCATGAAGCAAACTTACCACAGCTGCTGGAGACAGTGTCCTTCAGGACGACCTCCTCCTCCTCCTGTTCCTCCTCCTGCTCCTCCTCCTGTTCCTCCTCCTCCTCCTCGATGTGTTTCCTCTGCTTGATTCCAGAAGGCCTAAAAAAACAAGGACCAAAGTTCATCAGGAGAGACCAATGTTCCCTCAGTCTGTAGAACCTCAATAATCAGCGCTTATGGATCAGATTTGGGCATGGGGGGGTGGGGGGGTGGGGGGGGGTCCCTGCACCAGTTCCAGGCTCTCTACAGACCCAGCAGTCAGAAGCACCTGGAACTCATAGACCTGCTCAGATGCTCTGCAGATGAATGAAGATGAAGCAGATGTGATCAGAAACGTCCATAAAGTGGAGCTTCAGCATCACCAGTAGCTTCTGGTGCTAAACCAGTTCCTCCCACATAGAGCAGACTGGCATCAACACACCGAGTTCTTCAATCAGATGTTAGGATGAACTCAGGAAGATTGTCGTTAGCTTCCAGGACCGCCTAGAACCGCGCTGCCTCGTTTTCTCTCCTGTTAGCATCGATAGCATTCGCTACTTCTAAGGCCGTCACTCCTCTGAGCTTTTATCTTCGTTAGAGAGGGAGACC